GCACCCGGGCGAACTCTGGTGAATCCCTGCGCAAACCTCCGCTCCGTCCGAAACGCGTAGATGATCAGTAAACCCCCATGTGCCTCGCACTGACAGGGCAGGGAGGGACGGGAGGCTGGCACACTGCAGACGCACAAGCCAATCGCCTCAAGTGGCTGCAGCGCGCGCGGGGCCATCGATGACACGAAATCACGTGCCTTCGCAATTGGAGGGGCACCCTGTGCGTGTGACTGTCTGTCGGTGAGAGTGTTTTTGTTATTTTATTTACTTTCTTCAGCAAACCCCCAAGCGCCAACCGCTCGTCCAAGGGCCAATGGGACGTCCCCGACATGCAGCATGCTGACTCACTCATCCGCACGACGCCAAAGTCGCCGATCCATCCATCCATGCGAGCGGGACACGGCCAGACTCCTCAATGTTGGAGAGTCGTAGTACAGACGCCGTCGGGGATCAGAATGTCACCACTGTAACCGAAGTCGGGACCCAGTATGAGCCTCAATCCACACAGTCCCTACTGAACTTCATAGAATTCATCACAATGGGGATACTGACCTTCAATTTGCCTACCCTAGTCCCCGTAAAACTTGTTTTAATGTGCCAAATTCATATTATTCATTGTGTAAGACCAGGTGTACGTACTCTAGATAGATGAGTAATCCAACCAACCAAGCGTTTCCCATCGCCTGTTTGCCTGGTCCGTAGCAGCTGCGGTCGTCAACACTCCTTAATCGCAGATCTAAAATACGCCCTTCATCTACTCATTCGCTCATTCCTCATCAATGTGACTCCCCTCACCTTTACTTCTTTAAAAGTGTGGCTCTACGGACGACAGACCTCAAGCGTCCCCGAAGTACAGGCCGAGTGCGCTACCCTATAGCAGCGGCACCACAGTCCAAACTCATCAGCCACCAGTCACCTTTGGCCAGGCTTAAACGCATTCTTTAGCGCGACTAAGCTTGATATTTTGGACCGATAGAAGGACGAGTGCGGGACCAAAAGTCCAAGACCCGTCGCCGAAATATTGATCGCTGATTTGATCAGTTTTCATGGACCGTGAAAGCAATATCGCCGATAATCCTTAACGCATCGATAGTTGATATCAGTGAAGTGACAGAGACCCTTTATATGAATCACTACAGCAGCATCGCTTAAAAATTAATTTTACCCTGTGTATATGTAAACTATTAGATCAGCTGAAATCAAATTCAAAGAGCGATACTATTTCTAGTTACTTCAATATCTTGCTGCTAGTCTAGTCGCGCTATACGCCCACTTTCCATCATAAACGCGCCACTATACTTAACGATCTGAGTAAGTGAAACGCTTGCTATTTTGGGTTGCATCTTATCTGCGTCGATAAGTACCTACTTACTTACCTTATAGTTAGGCAGTTTGGCTGTCCCTTCAACATCTATGGTGACGGTCGAATGGCTCTGCCCTGAATTTTTTATCCAAGATCCTGACCCCTAATGGAGAACCTTAAATTCCTTCACTGGTCCTGGGATTATATCACGAAAACTGGTGATACATGGAAGTCACCAACCCTGGATTTTGATGAAATCGCTAGAGCACTCTCACTGTCGAAGCTTCACATTGGGTTTCGAAGTGGTTTTGGCACGTTGAACGGTTGGCCACCTGCGACCATCTCAGGGTCTTTCGCTGGTCTTGTTGATTTTCACAAGGTAAAAGAGCTCTATATACGGCTTGGTGGCATCAATCGCTGAGAACTGCCTGACAAGACTGCCACGACAACAATCTGTACGTGTTTTCGTTGACACCAAAGAGTATGAGTATCCACACGTCGGGTGGAAAATGGAGAAGCTTTCTCTTAGTATTGATGTCCTGGTGAGAGTTTGAGTATAAATAAAAACCAGCAATAGAAGATGCCAGACCCGACATCTCAACACAATGAATACAGAAGGTAAATATAAGCTTCGCTAGCCCAAGGCTGCAGTCATCTGGAAGGAAAAGTTTGGAAACCTTCATACCGATGACTCACTTGCTGTCGGGACTAGTGTTGATGTGAAGGTTCTTGATACTAATCGACAGTGGTTTGATCGCTATATGGGGCTATGATGAGGTATCTGAGGGCATCCAAATATGTCTTCGTCTCCGAAATCAATGACAAGGCAGGGATTTAATAGCTTGTAATATAGATACGAAAAATAATAACATAAATAACCACTATTGTAAATACCCTATATGTCTGTAAAGTGTGTCTCTATTCAGCCTTACCATACCCACTCCTATCCCTTTTCTCTTGCTATCATCAATTTGTTTTTCTCCATCTGGTCCATCTGGTCGGGGAGCCGGAAGCTTGGGCCTGACAATATTATGATCATCGAAGTTATACTTCTGGCCTATCGTAGTAGTATTCGGGGTGATATCGTAGCCCGTAACTTCGACTATTGTCTGGCAAACATTCGGTGATTTCTTTTTATGAATTAATATTCGTTATAAGTGTTCGAATCACTGGGTATAAGAGGGTAGGGGACCTCAAGGTTACTCGCCCCATCATAGGGAGGCTATGTTCGAGGTATATCGTTTTTTCCCTTGGCTTCTTCTTGCTCCTTTGTTAGCTTCTTGGCCACGCTGACCATCCTTCTCCTTGGGCATCCTAGCCCTCATCTGGCTTCCGGATTCTAAAGTCTCACCTTACATAGAATGCTTTCCTTTCCTAGAAATGGGGTAGCTAGGGACTGGGATTATCTTTAACGCCTTCGTCTGGTTGCTAGTAATGATTAAAAAAAAGAGCTACATTCAAGACAAACTCTTAGATCACGAAGTCCCCACCTTAACCGATGTTGTACATTGCCTTCTTGTTGAAGTGCCCCACAATTTCCGTGAAAGTCTGGAGAATGGGATGATAGGGGCATATTGCTGAAGGAACGTTAGTGTTCATGATACGTCTAACTCAGCCCGGTCTGCAATTTTCATACCCTGTGCCTACTGAACAGCCTAAAAATAGACGGTCTAGAGGCCATAGCCTAGTGAGTGTGCAGTTGGATTTAGGCACAAACTGCTAAGCCCTCTGCTGAAACTGTCCCCAAGGGTGCCACGCGTTGTTTGCACCCACCATAAGCCTGCTGAGCCAGGGGTAGTGGGCGAAGTTAAGGTAATAAGGGTGGTATTCTTGTGAGCTGATTTGAGTGTGAGTTCAGCTCCGGCGACCAGCTCCATCTCCGGATTAGTCTGCTTATGATCCTCCGGGGTAGGGCATACATGGGTCGAAAAGAAGCAATGTGCCATATGTCAATTGCCGAGGTGTCCAGTGCATTATAGTGTTATTTTAGGTAGCCAATATCTTCTCACTTTTAGAGGGAATCGTATCTTTCCTCAAACTACACGTGTCCCACCGCCCGTTTCCCAAGTGCCTTCTTTACGCCAGCGCAAAGTGAAGTATGTCTGCTCATTGAGTGACCGCAGCATAGGTCGTGAGTACCCTGATTCACCCCAATCAAAGTCAAGGTCGCGCTTCTCAGCCTGCGCGCATATAAACTTACGAACATCCTCGTGTGTCTCATCTACAGCGTGCTCCAGCTCTATATACCCCGCCCTATCAAGCGGCTTCTTGGTGCTTTCATCTAATGACTTCAGCTCATCGAGAAGCTGCTCGATGACGGACTTGGCCTTGTTCGCTGTGTCCTCGCGGACATTTTGCAAGTGCAACAGGCGCACGGTGGACTCATCAACTGAGACGCAGAGCATCATATCGCGGTCGCACATATCGAGTCTGATCTTTTGCTGGCCAGGGCCACCCAAGACAAGCGTGTGTGAGATGCTGGTGAATGGGCCGACGTCATTGTTATGATGGCGATCTGTAGGTTGGCCATCCTTGGTAGGGTTTTCGGCAGCCATATTGCGAGCAGCAGGGCAAGTCTGGAGGAAAATATATGGTCTGAGGTAAAACACGCGCCTGGTTAGCCCTGGGCTAGCGAATAAATTCAAAGGTATGTGAATAGCCATGGTGTGAATACCGTTTGAGGTTGTTGAAATACACCGGCTTTCAAATGGTGGCGACGCGTGAGTTGAAACGCTGTAACGCTGGCTCGAAAATCAGTCAAGTGCGGCTTGGTGCTTTATATGAGAGGGATGAAAGTCCTGGCTTAGTCAGCCCGTCACACCAGAATCATAAGGTATTATCCATAGGTACATGAATGAATGAATACAGTGTAGTAGCTTGGCACAGCATGAGCTCTTTCTCCTCGAAGCTGACTGAGGCCCATGCAACAACGGCGTGGCCAAGCCGTTCTGTCCTTTTTCAACCGCAGTTTTGAAAATTATGAGCAGGTCTATATTCATTATTGCTGATCCATTCATGCTTAACCTTAATTCAGTCTGGCACCCGAAGAATCCATGGCCCTTTGAGGCTGATTTGGAACCCTGGCCACTGATGTGAGGCAGGGCTGACCACCAGCAACAATCCATATCCCTGTTTCATCCACTTATTTTCCCGGGGAGCAAGGGGAAAAGCGGAGTTTGTGGATTGTGTAGCGAATGATCGTGAGAGATAATAGAATATTGCGCCTTCGCCATTTTGTGGCGGGGCGTTTTTTGTACCAAGAAGGATCATTGTGCATTACGAAGTACGAAGTACGAAGAACGAAGATGCAACCACATCCTGTCAGAGTAATTCGGACTAAAAAAAGACGCGCACATCGCTCAAACTGGGAGCCTTGGGGGCGTTTTCACTTGGGTGTGACCCTTAAGCGATGGCTGGCACCAATGAAATATCGGGACCAACTCGCTGTCTCTAAAGGGAGGCTGACATGGTTCTCAATTTTGGAATTCTTGAGTGAGTATTCGGCAGCGTGATGGAGCGGAGAGGGTGGAGGATGTCGTGAAGCTGAATGAGGTAGAAAAGGCTGTGTGATTCCGGTCTATGAGTTATGTAGAAAATCAATAAACGGCTCGCCATCCTCTTTCCCTTTGGTCCCATTTCTTTTTATTTCAATTTTATACATTTTCTCAATGGATAGGACCGACAGTACTAGCCGATAATGTATCTTCCTACGTTTATTTATACCATTTTCTTCTTGGCCCTGGCGGTCGAAGCAGAAAAGGGAGGTAAGTAGAAAGCAATCAATGAACACTGCACCTTCTAATACTAAAATGAGAAAAAGTCGATGTTCTCGGACAATCAAAACAGAATGAAAAGGGGATTAGTGGTGCAGCACATCGGGAAGGGAAGCACCAATCTATTGCAACTGTAAGAATAACACACCTTCTCTTGAAGCCTGCAGACGAGATAGGGAATCCAAGCTAACAAGTGGCAGTCGAGCAAGGCTAGTTTTCAGATCGAGAAAACAGGTGTTCCCCAGATCAATGTTCGCCAGCCAGGCCTCCTTGGGAAACTTGGCAAGGTTGCTTCTGCTGTAAAGAAGGTGGCTGCCCCAGCGAAGAAGGCTGCCGCTGCCGTGAAGAAGGTGGCTGCCCCAGCAAAAAAAGTTGCCGCTGCTGCGAAAAAGGTCGCTGCCCCATCAAAGAAGGCTTCCCCTATCAAGAAGATTGCTGCTGCCGCGAAGAAAGCAGCTGCCCCTGCAAAGAAAGCAACCGCAGCTGTGAAGAAGGCTGCATCGAAAAAAGCCACACCGAAGAAAATTGCACTAAAGAAGGCCAAACCGACGAAGAGTGCCTCCAAGAAGGCCACACCGAAGAAGAGTGCCTCCAAGAAGGCGGCTCCGAAGAAGAGTACCTCCAAGAAGGCGGCTCCGAAGAAGAGTACCTCCAAGAAGGCGGCTCCAAAGAAGGCCGTGGCAAAGAAAGGTGCTGCCAAGAAGACACCACAGAAGAAGGCCACCGCAAAGAAGGCAGCTCCCAAGGCCAAGGGTGGCGCTGCGAACAAGGGAAAAACTCTCTCAAAGAGCAAGGCTACAGCTAAAGGGAAGACTAGTTCTAAGGGAAAGAGTGCTCCTAAGGCTAGCAAGAAGACTCCTGCTAAGCCTGGAAAGAAGTCTCCTGCTAAAGCTGGAAAGAAGTCTCCCGCCAAAAAGACTCCCGCCAAAAAGACTCCCGCCAAGGCTGGTAAGAAGTCTCCTACTAAAGCTGGGAAGAAATCTCCTGCAAAGATTGGGAAGAAGTCTCCTGCTAAGGCAGGAAAGAAGAGCACCAAATCAGGAAAGAAGAACACCAAAGCAGGAAAGAAGAACAACAAAGCAGGAAAGAAGACTCCGACTAAGGCTAGCAAGAACACCAAGACGAGCAAGAAGACTCCCGCCAAGAAGACTCCCGCCAAGGCAAGCAAGAAGTTTCCCACTAGCAAGAAAACTCCTGCAAAAGTTGGGAAGAAGTCCCCTGCCAAGGCTGGAAAGAAGAACACCAAAGCTATAAAGAAGTCTCCCGTTAAGGCTGGGAACAAAAACACCAAAGCTGGAAAGAAGACTCCGTCTAGAGCTGGGAAGAAGAACGCAAAATCTGGAAAGAATGCCCCAGCTAAGGCCGGAAAGAAAAACATCAAAGACAGAGCCAGAGGAAAGAAGACTCCTTCTAGGGTTGGGAAAAAGAATCCTACCAAAGCTAGCAAGAAGGCTTCTACCAAAGCTGGTAAGAAGAACACCAAGGTCGGAGCTAAGGGCAAGAATGCTCCCTCCAAGGCTGGGAAGAATCATTCTGATAAAGCTGGAGCTAGGGGTAAGAAGGTGCCTGTCAAGGCTGGCGTCAAAGGATTAAAGGGACAGACTGCCGCCAAAGGAAAGAGCAGTCAGGCTACGTGCGCATGGAGGCGATCTTTGGGCTTGAGGTGTCCAACAGGAGCTGGAGACTCGCAAGCCGGATCTGGTAGCCAATCGACGACTGGTAACCAATCTGCGCAGAAGAAGCAACGCAAGGATAAGAAGAAGAAGGCCGAGAAGGTTAAACTGAACCCGAATCGCGCAAATCAACACAAGGACGATGCCGGCATGTATATGGGTGTTTCGCCAGACCCACAGAACTTTTTACCCGTCCAGAACGCCCATACTAAGCAGTGGACGTATGAACGGAAGACTGGCGACGGGATCGATATTGACGCTAGGATCAAGGATTATCCCGGACACAATTCGAATGTGAGATTTGCGGTAAGCAAAGGTCAAAAAGCTGAAAATGGTCCCAAAGGAATTGGTCCAGGCCGCCATGACGAAAACACTATGATGAAGAAGAACAAAGACCAGGAGAGGAAACAAAGGAAAGCTGCTGAAAAGGCCCAGAGGAATGGAAAGAAAACTAACGCAACTGGGAGACCCAAAGGTGAATACTCTAACCATATAAATCTGGTGTATTTGCATGCTAATATATCTCGCGTTATTTGCAGATGGTGTTGAATGGTGGAGAATTTCTACTAAATCACAGAAGCAACTCGAATATGAGCATAGGAAGAACGGAGGCACAGGATCGGTTCCGACAGCCTGGGACGCAGACAAGTTCCGAGAAAATATGTAAGACCGCCAAATTCATGTTCGAAAAGCTGTTTCCCAAGACGATAGGCTGATTTTGATTGCAGGCTCGCACAACATCAACATTTTCAAAATCACGAGGCTGGAGATATGAATGACGAATATGCAAAGCATGTGAAACAGATGAATGCTTACACCAACTCTAAACAGCGTTTCAGTAAACCCCAAACTGTTCAGCGCCGTGCCATCTCGATGGGGCCTTGAACATATTAGTTCTTCAGGGGAAGGCTATATTTAGATATTTTTCATTTTCATTTTTAGCGCTCTGAGGGTTTCATAGTAATACTTATCTTCTCCCAGTGATTCCTCACGACATGCATATTCAATAATTAGAGGCGAGAATTTGGTGCCGTCGGTGTGGACGAGCATGTAGGACATGCTTTAAGAAAAACGTACTTGGGTTTAACGAGACGACTCCTAACATTTAAGCACAGCCATCACTAAATAATAATCAAGATTACATACGAAAATGAGTCAAATTGTTTATTAGCAAATAAATGAAACTTAATATTATACAGTCCCTTGCTAAGGCATTGACTCCGCCTTCTTGGCCCCATCCACGCCGTGAACCCAGCTTACTCGGTCTTTGGTGAATAGCTCTAATTGTGGCCTCAACTTTGTCTCATGGAGGCTGAAATCATCAACGGTACCAATCCGGAGAATGCTCTGTTCAGGCCAAGCCTCGCCGACACGGTACATGAGCGTGCCACAGGTGGAACAAAAGTAATTCGCCATGGATCTCTTCTTGAGGATTGTCTCAGACTGACTGAATACTTTGAGATTCTCTTGACCGCGGATATGTCTCAAATGTGAATCCCTGACGATGAAGTTGGAAGCAAACATGGATGCAGTGATCTTGCGGCAGTCGCTGCAGTTGCAGACAAAGGTTTGGACTAATCCTGGACCTTGAGTGGGCTAGAAGACGAGTCAATGATATGCCCTCCACCAGGACATGGGAGAACACGATGCCTAATAATCCGTCACTTACAAATGCTAATTGAACAGCACCACAAAAGCAAGTAGCTGTTGCTTCCTCATCTGTCGACCATCCGTCACGAGCCAGACTGGCGAGTGGAATATAAGGCTTCGAGGTGTCTGCGGAGGCGGCCATGCTGATATATTGTTTTACGCGAGTTTCCGATGGAATGATATTGAGATAGCAGTGAGGAGTGTGATGATCTGGAGGAGTTTTGGATATTGCAGTCAACGTGACATGACGTTTATATACGTGAATCTTGAACTCAATCATCACGCCGGACCTCTGACTGACTTCGGAGAAGCGGAGCCGAGGTTACTTCAATCAGCCAATAAGATCCTCACATTCATCTCCGTCACCATCTCCGTCATTCCGCCGAATCCATAGAGCGAGCCGTCGGAATCTACGGAGTCGAAGAAACCAAGTGCACGAATTATTGTACCGAGTAATGAAATTGACCACACGGGAGTGTATTTCTAATCTCAATGTCAAGACGAGATTATAAAATTTAAGATTAGTCAAATGGGAAACCCGTGGATGAAGTGATAGTGTGAGTCGAGTTGCAAATCAATTTGTCCAAGTAGACTTAAGAAGACTACACCCCGCGTTTATTAGGTTCAGTAAAAGGCGCGGGTATATAAGTGTCAAGTTTCAAATTAGGAAATCCTTGTTCCGATTTCTGCTGTTCGAACACCAATTTGGTTCTGAACAAATCGACAAGTAACCGCCTTGGATTGCGTTGCAATCATGGTGGCCCCTGATATGTGTGCCGCTCTGGTTGGCCAAGGTGCGTTGATGTGCCTTTGAGTCCTTAACTCATGATTCGGCTCGCATAAATTGACTGTCAGCCCAACTGTCTGCCTTATGGCTGCCTCGGGGCACTCATAGCTATAAAATGAAGTCGAATGCAATGAAGCGACATTTGTTCTAGTCGCTATAACGGTTCATCTGCCATCATTTGAAACAGACATGATCAGGACAATGAAGATTGAATACAGTCCCCTCGATCGCGATAAACAAGAGATCAGACTCTTGGAGCTCTTACCTCAAAGCCGCGACAGAAAGCAGAAACTCTTTCCTACTTGTCGCATCTTCCATGCTTGCCTTCCCGCTGGACCACGCTTCACAGCATTATCATATGTGTGGGGAGATGTCAAGAACAAACAAGTCATACTTGTTGACGAGTCGCCAGTTCTCGTAACAAAGAATCTTTATGAAGCAATGATGGCGCTTCGACCTATCGATGAGCCCCTGGTAATGTGGATTGACGCACTCTGCATTAATCAGGCCGACGACGATGAGAAAAGCTGGCAAGTTGGTTTGATGCAAGAAATCTATCGCCAAGCGCACCAGGTACTTGCTTGGCTTGGCTCTGCAGACAAACACAGTGACTCCGTTATTGACCATTTGGATTGTCTTGGAGGAAAGGCCGAACTCTTGACTCGGGAGCTTCCGAGTCCACAGGAGTATGCCTGGCAGAACCTACCTCTTGTTCTTGGCTCTTTACTTCGTGGAGGCGTTCCGACTGCTGAGATGATGAAGCGATTGGGGAGTGTAAGGCCTCTGACTCGTGAAGACTACATGCCATTCTTTGGCTTTATCGATGCTTATTATGAGCAGAACGGACAGAAAATGATGAGAGCATTGAAAGATTTTATTACTCGGCCTTGGTGGGGACGTGTTTGGGTCCTTCAAGAAATAGCTCTGCCAGAGAATGCTCGATTTGTTTGTGGAACTAAGACGATTTCCCGAGATCGTTGCGCCGCAGCCATAAGGACTTATAGGATGTGGTGGATGAGCCTCGCGGAGAAATCCACGGCCGGCAACCCATTCTCTCTTAGCCAGTACTAGCGAAAAGCCATGATAAACCTGCCATTACACAGGCCTACCGTCATGTTGTCTGTACGAGAATTATACAGGGACAACCAATTTACGTTGGCTGCCCTCCTTCGTTTAACTTGCGTTGGGAGCCACAACCTCCGCGTACATGGACCACATCACATGGAAGCTACCGACCCAAGAGATAAAATATATGCACTCTTGGGTTTAGCGTCTGATAGGGAGGAGTTGCAGGAAAAAGGCGTCATTCCGAACTACTCAAAGTCTTGCACCTGGGAAGACTTGTATTCTTCAGTCATGGTAGTTTTGATCCAAGCGGGCTACATCTCACTTCTTTCTCTTTGCCAGCACCAAGAGACTAGTACACACTTACCTTCATGGGTTCCAGATTGGTCAAGCTCAGTAACTCATATGTTGCAAGATGTGAGAGACGATCATGTCACTATTTATCCTACGTTTTATGCTTCTGGTGAGAGCCTAGACTACCCAAAAGTTTCTGTCATAAGAAAAGATGGAATAATTAGAGGGATTTCATTAAAGGGTCATATCTATGATGAGATATCCGATGCCGGATCGTTCCCTGAAAGAGCTTCGAGTCAGGAAGTGCCGCTCTTTGAAACATTTACGTGGCCGAGTCGATGGTTCATCGAGTTTCTTCTTCTTACATATCATAATCGACACGCCTACCCAAATTTTGAGGACCGGCTGCGAGCAGCAGCTAGATCTTCAATAGGTGAGGTGGGTTGGGGTGAAGAGGGGCGTCAAGCAAGAATTGGGGATAGTCGTTTCGATGATGCGGTAGTTCTTCTACGCAGCGGTCTGAAGTATATACGCAAATCCCGCATCAAATCAGAGGCCGAGCGATTCCTGGCCGACAAGGCTAATGGAAAATATACCAAAACCAGGACGTATATGGAAATCAGACTGGTTAACGAGATCATGGGCCAGTGTTTAGGGAGGCTTCCATTTATCACCAGGAAAGGACACTTGGTCTTGAGCTACACCAGTGTGAAGAAGGGAGATATAGTTGCGTTGATCAAGGGAACTCAAGTTCCATTTATTCTACGTCGACAAGACGAAAAATCATATCTCCTCATCGGCGAGGCGTATGTCGATGGTATCATGGATGGCGAAGCAGTAGAAGACTCGACTTTCAGTGATATACACCTGGTCTAGTAGTGTTGATTAACATCCATATGCCTATTGAAAAAGTCGAAATCGGTGTCCAGCATAAACTCGCTGAGGTCAATTTCCATTGGAATCTGCCTTGGGGCCATGAAACCGTTTGAAACTCTCACTGTAGGCGCTCCATGACCAACGCTTCCGTTAGCTTCCCCAGAGTGAGCGGTTTGATGGCTATAATCATTAGAAGGTAGACCTGATGAGGCTGTAGATAATATTAGCCTTTAAGCAATGACGATGTAGACTGGTGTTTCTGCAGGGTACCGGAATATAGGAGAAGAAAATGGGAAGGGGAGCGAAAGGCAACTATAAGCCGAGGAAAGAGAAACACACCTGGGCCCAAGGGTGCCAAGCTAAGCTGTGACAGATAGCTGACGCAGCGTTCTACAACGCGATTTCCACGATCGAGATTCTGCAACGCTTCGATGGCCATATTGAAGTACGGCAGGGCCTTCTCGACAAATTTCCAACGAGAAAACCGCTCCGTGTCATTTTTGCAATCATCATGCGCGACATGTGTTGCCGCGAATATCACTAAGCCGGCATTGAATGCTTCGTACGTTGTCAGCATTCTTGTCCGCAAATAGTCAAGCAAGCACAGAGCTAATGTCATCAAGGCAATTATAGACTGATTTCCCTTACTAACAGAGTAGGACCTGGAGTTGAACTTACTATAGAATAGAGAGTAGTTCCAAGCGCCAAGTAGGTCGCGCCGCCAACCACTGGACATAACTACCGTACGAACCATGGATATAACAATCATGGCCGAGGTAATACATGTCTCGATACTGCTAATGCCGAGTTGCTGGACCATACTGCGGTCTACACTGGGTTTGGAATGATTGCTTGCTGACGCACGCCCGCAATCGTCCAGGGACTTCTCTAAGAGGGGCCGATGAAGTAGAATCTGAAGGTTGTGATAACGTACGGACAGGACTATTATGAACCTTTCCATGAGCTTGTTATCCTCGTCCATGTTCTCAAGGTCGTGAGGGCCGAGAGGTGTGTTGTACACTGACATCTGCAGTGGTCCAAGTGATGACTGCCATTCATTAAGTTGTTCCTCTCCCTTGAGTGTGAGGGTAACTAGATCGGAGTCGGTGCGGAACTCCTCTAATCCAAGGTTCTGGCCATAGCAAGAGTCGATGATTTTGTACATTATATTGTACAGTGTTCTGATAGTATTTTTAGCATTTGACGCCGTTAGATGCAATTATAAAGACTTGCTAGTGAAGATTTCCTTACATTGTGGCGGTAAAAAACATGCCATCCATCTGGGGAGCAGGAGTAGGTTGTGGTGTTTGACCCATGACTTGTAGTGTAGGAGCCGGTAGCTCAAGCCTCAGATAACCCTCGGGTATCATGGACGGGCGTCCAAATGTCATACTAAGAGTGCTTCAATGACAGAAAGCCAAAATTGTCAGGCGAAAAGTTACAAGCTAAGAGTTCATCGTCTGTTATAGACAGACTTTGTTGAGCTGGAATATCAACCATACCGATCTAAAAGAATACATCCAAACCAGACACGCTTTCGTATTTCGCTTTCAAGGGGAGGGAATCGGTTGTTGGTTTTGGGAGAGTGGAGGCCCAGCTGAAAAGCGGTAGTTATTGCCAAGCCGTGGACAGTCCATGCTTGAACAGACTTTTGCGTTCCTTGTAGATATTGTCCTAGGATGAGAAGGTATTGTACTATATATTGTTAGATCTTTGCGTGATGTCCTGAGATGGAGTAAAAGGGGTTATAAACCTAGTTCCACGCTGATATTGCGCCGCGACTCTTTATCACAAAGCCCGTTGGCTCTTTGGTAATACACATCAGACTCCTCGATTCTTTCTTCGGCAGATACATTTGATTCAACGAAAAGGGTGGCAGCCATAGCCATGATGATGTTGAGCAGCCCAAGCCACGTCCGGCGGGCCATGGTGAAATTATTCCTCTTCATCTCGAAATACGTGGCACAAAACCACTCTTCGTGGACAAATGGCAGTAGCTGACCAGTCTTCTGGAAATATTCACGTATAAGGCTCCACGTGCGGGCCTCGGAGGGCAGAGCATAGATGTTGACCCCTTCGCGGGCACGGTACTGGCGCCTCTCGGCTGCTTCATCGTCGGCGGCTTGATGTGGACGCGACACGCTCATACCCCCCGAAACTTCTCGGGCTTGGTTTGAAGGCGAAGGGAAAGCCTCGTGCCAGTTGCCAATACGAGCCATGCCCAACGAGATGTGGCGGAGAAAAGCGATGTTAGATGAGGGACCTTGTGCGTAACGGTGTCAGCATAGAATTCCTTGCCTCCAAGGCCAAAAACCTGAAACTGGAAATTGGTGAGGACTAAAGACGAACCAAAATATCCCCAATCTTCTTCATCGGTGAACTTGATGGCCCCCATTCCATCTATGGAATCCTCGGCGTTGTCGATCTCGCCAATCCCGCCAATCCCGCCATTGCCGGGGTAGATGAGATGGTCTGAAGCCGCTTGATTCATGGTTTCCTCGTTCTCCTCCTCTTCATCCTGACCGCGGATCTGTTCATCTCTTACTCGATCTCCCGCTGTGGACGACGAAGCATCACCTGAGACCGATTTCTGACTACGCTGAACTTCCTGCAAGGTGGACTCTATGTCCTTTAGTCGGTTTTCTAAACGTTCGAGGTAGCTGTTCCCTTAATTAGAGTACTTGAAACAGGTCTTCTTCTTTCAACAAGTCACATACCTTCTGCCGACGGTAAGCGTAGTAGCAACTCCAGCCTGTTCATACAAGCACTCGCAACCCAGCTCGCTACACAACGAGCACTTTGGTCGGCTGCCATCACACTACAAGAACTCAAAGGCACTCGTTAACGATTCACAGGTCTCCATTGGCTCGGTCTTTGATAGAGCACGTACCCGCGTTTTCCGATGGCGGCAGTTACTACAAGCCAGTGCAACTCGGCGTCTCTTGTTTGGGCCACCACCTTCGCTCGCACTGGCTGTTGTGGATGATCCCCAGCTTGCTTGTGGGTCAGTTTGGGTCGTAGTTGACATGGTCCACGGAAGCGAACGGGAATCCTGTCTTCCCCTGGTCAGTTAAGAAGGCGCAAAGTAGGCAACAGAGGGCTGCTTCGTGCCGGGAAAGCTGGTGCGAGCGTGGCCGGCTTCTAACCGACAGAAACAACTATTCTCTTCGGGTGGAGGACGGGAGGGAATCGTATTAGTACCTCCTCCCGAGCTCCCCGACACGCAGACACACGTGAATCAAAGCATAAACCCCGTTGCGGGGGAAGCTAATGGAAATAAGACCGGAAACTTGACGAGGCTGGGGAAATGCGGAGTTGGTGGATTGTGACCCCATACGCTATTCCTTGATAGATCTCTTTTGCAGAATGAAAAACTTGGCGTCGGGGAGTTAGGGATTGATCAAGTTGGGCGTGAATTGACGGCTGGCCTGCGTGTGTCTACGTACATTGAGGGGATACCATACAACACAAGACGAAGAGTGATATGTACTGTTGCTGATAGGAGATCGAAACAACCAGGCACGTGTTTGACTATGGATGAGCCCCAAAACTATATACCTCGATACAGGTTCTTGCCTTGATACAAATCCTTGTACTTTGGGCAGACATCATCTCCACTCGTGTAATTAATTTAAAGAACAAGTCCTTAGGGCGGAGTATCTTAGAGTACAGACGTTCTCCCCTTGTTCCATTTAGACACAAATTCAAGGAGCTCGCGCTGAATCTTTTCTCCATGCGTAGACCCAAGAAAATGGACGCCTCGCTCACAGGTGACAAGTTTAGCATCGGCTGAGTTGGTAAAAAGCTTCATATCCTCCTCAGCCTGGCGCACACTA